TTTATCTGTGTCTGTGTCTGCTGGCCAGAATGAGTCACGCTAGTGGATTTATGTATCGTTGTAGCGATGCCGCCCTGAACCTTCCACACCTCAGAAATGGGCCTGGTAACTACTCCTTACCTCCTGTTTGGTTGGTGCATACTTGACATTTTTTCGTAGAACCTTAAATGTGCGACGAGATGGAGCAAACATCTAGGCTGGCTAGGTTCTGAAATCACCAATATAGATATATATATTGGTGATCTGACCTCGTTTTCGCAACTTGGTCGGAACGATCCTGAGACCTTGTGTAACACACCAAGTCCTGTGTCCTCTGTTCTAGATTTCAGGATAATTTCCCGCATCGGAGCGTTGACTCGGACATTCATAGACGTTTCGACGGCGCCATTCCCAGCACAGTTACAAATTACCAGTGACAGCTGACGCCTCACATTCAATCTTCTCATCAAGTGAAGGGATCATTTCAGATTCCGCTTCATCAATCAGCTTCCGTTGCTGTTAGCAACGAAATAAAATACTCTTCTGGAGGCAAGGCAACACTCATGAACTTTCGATGGCTGCAAAATCAAAAGAATACTTGCATGAGGCCCTGGCCAATCGCAGGTCTAGTCAGCAAGCCTACCACCCATTCAGGGATCCCGACGGGTCCTTTCTTGAAGCCATTGAAACCATGGCTGGACGTACAGTCAACGTTATAATGAAACATATCATATTATAATACAAGGCTGCCAGAATAGCTTGTTCTGGCGGCGAGCGGTACATTTAACTTTCGCGCCCGTTGTGGCTTCTATGATGAAGGCATCGGGCCTATCGGGCCAGACAATACAGTTTCCTCCAAGCAAATGACCCAGTAAGAGTCCGGGCGATGGAACACCGCGACCAGGAGAGGACTGCACGATTAGATAGATGGGTGAATGGGCATGCATACATGCGAAGATGTGCTTCCGCATGTGTGTGTACAGATGGATAATTAGGCGGATATACAGACAAATGGACAGGGGTCATCACATTAGTGCTACATCATGTGTGCAAATGCTATTGTAACAAGTGCAATTGTTGAATGTCTGTGGAGAATGATGGTGGTGTGACAAAGAGGCCTGGAATGGGGATGGGGATTTCTGCGGGGCGGGGGTCGGGAGAGGTCGAGATGAGGCGTGGCATGAGAGAGGAAGATAAGCAGGCCCAAGTGAGAAGCCGGTACTGTGAAAACGGCTTTATCTCTTCACCTCAGTCGCCTAATCACAAGCCCCTCACTTTTAATCGCCAAATCTTCCGGTTGACCCGACAAGCCCAGTTGCTGGCACTGTACCTCACACACTGACCGAGCGAATCGGTCGGACATTTCCATTGGTTGGTCACCGGTTTGGCTAATCTCTTAAAATTAACTTTTTATATATTCAGGATGAGTGGGTCTCAAAACTGCCCGTAAATCTTGGCTAAAGGACCCGAAGTCTGCATATCCGGCAAAAAGTAGGGTTTTAGACCACTCTATCTGACATCCTGAGCCAGACATCAGTTGCTGTAGGACGCTTTAGGAAATTTTAAAAAATGTCAGTTAAGTTTTTACCGAAATGAAATAAGTTTACCTCGCGATACCTCTTGTAAAGTGATTTTACCTCGATTTCACATCTCACTCTTGTTGCCAGGGCGATCTCGATAAACACACCTTGTCCGAAATCCTCTGCCACAGTAGCCAGGATAATTTCCAGCGTTGGAACGGGGACTTGGGGCGGTCTTAGACGTTTCATCGACATCGTCAATGAGTGAAATAAGAGGATAGGTGATTAGGACAGAATGAAGAGTTGATGCTGGCATACCTCACATTTAGTATGAAAAACTGGGTGGAAGAGTTTCGTAAATTGGCTCCACCAGACACCGAAGGAGGAGTTCCTTGGAGTTGTGCCAGTTGGATTATGCGAGGAAGATCTTGGATCACTTTCCTGTGGCCCTCGACCCCATGTCAAGCATCCACCCGTCAGGTGACGAACGTCATCAGAGCCCTGAACCAACATTTACGAACAATAGGCATAAAATCAAGAAATACTAAAATTCTA